CATTTTAAAAATCCAAACATGTAAACCAGGGATCATTCATCAAATCAAATATTTATGTGACATTTTATTAGACATAAGTTAATGGCAAAATAGACATGCCTCTCATGCAAAGTCAGCTAACTTCAAGTTATCACAGCTGAGATAAACCGTATTTCTAAAATAACTTTTTAACACTACTCACTTTTTCTGATTAAAAAAAATAGTAAGAATCAAATTGTATACCTTTCCTTACCCTAAAAACTCAATTCATGGGGCCAGACCCATAAAATGTAAGCCATGTATACAATTCCAAGGGTTTAAAAGTCCGCCATCTTCTATTGCTTCTGTCATTTTCCCTATTACACCTAGACAGATTACGCAAGGAAAATAATGGTTGCTGTCACAGAGCCACTGTCCAGTCTCTTAGGACCTGCCCTGATAACATCTTCTGTACCAGGCTTTGCTACTGGTTCGTGAAATAAACACACTTCATGAGAGACCAAGTTGAATTTCAGTCTATTTTAAAGACCTTATAATAAATGCTAGTCTCAGATATTCATTTTCTCTTTTTCCACAGAGTTCTTCTCCATGAGGCACAGGTCCACCATGTAATGTTGAAACAGGTACATGTTTCCATAAGGAGAAGTATATTTTCCTGAAGTGATTAAGTAATTGAACCACATATGAAGTAATACTTTCTGGTTTAAAATTGTTAACATTCTTATAACAGCCACAGATAAGTCACCGGTCATATTAATTAGAAACCTCAAGAATGTAAAATGGCAGAAACCGATATGGTTCAGTGGATAGAGCGTTGGCCTGTGGACTGAAAGGTCCCAGGTTCGATTCTGGTCAAGGGCCTGTATCTGGTTGCGGGCACATCCCCAGTGGGGGGTATGCAAGAGGCAGCTGATTGATGTTTCTCTCTCATCTATGTTTCTAACTCTCTATCCCTATCTGTAAAAAATCAATAAAATATATTTTTATAAAAGAATAAAATGTTCAAATCTTCCTACACTATCTGCTGTGTGTTCAGGAGACTTTCCTGCTACACATACTGAAATATGTCCCTGACCAAAGTGGTGTGAAATAAGGTTGCAGATGAACAGGTTATGATCACAAATTCAAGAATGTTTGTAATAACAATACTAGACAGAGAATACACCCAGCTTATTTTCTTCAGCATTTGGGATGTTACATAGCCTGTTGAATAAATATTTAAGCATCCTATTGGAGTTACTATTTAGCAATGAAAGTTCACTTCACTAATAATTATGCATGCAAAGAAGCTCATTTTAAAAATATTTCATGTTGTTAAATTACTTTATAATACTAGAAATTGGAAATGGCCCTAGCCTGTTTGGATCAGTGGATAGAGCATTGGCCGCAGACAAAAGGGTCTCAGGTTCGATACCAGTCAAGGGCAGGTACCTTGGTTGCAGGTTTGACCCGCAGCCGAGGTTAGGGGCACGTGCTGGAGGCAACCAATTGATGTGTCTCTCTCACATCAATATTTCTCTCTGTGTGTCTCTCCCTCTTCCTTCCACTCTCTAAAATTCAATGGAAAAAAAAAAATATCCTTGAGTGAGGATTAGCAACAAAAACAAACAGTGGAAAGGTCCTGTGAAGAATGGTTTGGAGCAGGGTCCAGATTCCCGCTTCAGCACCAAGGCACTCAATCCCAAGCTGTTGAGAATATCAGTGTTGATGGCTCACAGCTGAGTCCTCTGCATTTCACCCTCTGACATGGTTTTGCCTCCTTTCCCTGGGGTATCACACATTTAATGAACGGTTAATAATGGTGGAAAGGCCTGCCTCCTTGCGTCATTTCAGGATGACTGAGTGGAACTCCCAGCTTCATAGCCCCATATAGTATTGGCTGAGGCCTCTGCTGCAAATTGTTCACAGTTCAATGTTTCCTTCTATCCAACTCTGCTTCCATCACTCCATCACAGACATTATCGCCAAGAGCACATCCCAATAATTTTTCTGTACACAAATCTCCCATGTGCGTCTGCTTCCAGAGGAACTCATCCTAAGACAGTTGGTATTGAAAGTGGTCCCGGAAATTAGACTCTAAACTGGAGTTTAGGGGGGCTGATTCCCTGCCAGCCAGCTGCCAACCGAACCCCATCCCTAGTGAGTGGAGTACTGAAAGCACCTGGTGATGCTGAGGCCTTGAGATTACTAATTTGAATCCATTTATGCTGAAGTTATGTCCCGACCTGCTTACCTGTAATTTAAAAAAAAAAAAATCATAAATAAACAAAACAGGGCTTTTTATACTGACTTTTCTCTCGCTATAGTTTGGACAAGACTGCCACCTCCTGGAGACGCTAGTGAATACTGGGGACTGAGGTGTTCTCATCCGCCTGGGGAATCAGTAATAGGATGTTGTTTGCATCTCAACGCCAACTCCTTATCTCTCCTTGAAATTAAGTCAATGCCTAACCCCTCACAACCTCTGTGAACAGATTTTTGTATGGAAACAAGACTTCAAAGGACAATGTTTTAACGTGAAAATTTAAACAAAAGCTAACATCTGTAGCTCGCAATATGCCACGTACTTTCTTAATCCTTACAGCAGCCCCATGAGGTGGGAACTATTAGAATAAACACCTCCAGATGGAGAATCCATGATGGCTGCCCAGGTAAACACCTAACTGCAGCTGCACACAACAATTTCAATAAAATACAACTAAAATATAAAATGGACATTACCCAGAACTATAGGAAAGTCGACTGACTGGAAGTTCTACAACGAGAAGGAAAGAGAAAACCAGAAGGAAGAGTGGAGAAATTGTAAAAGCCTAAGGTAAGGAGACACGCGGCACGCGCGGAGAGGACGGAGCCAGAGAGGAGGGGGCGGCTGAGTGCCTGGTTGGTGTTCCCTAGTGAGAAGGAGATAAAAGCTCCGACTGTGCTGAACCCCAGACCTGTCAGCGCTGAACCCCAGTTCTAGGCCAGACCCTGGGGACCCAGGCTCATACAGAGGGAGCCAAGACTGTGAGGCGGAACCCCAGGGGAGCGGCGAAAGGAGGTCCCAGAGGCGCGCACATTGCTCGCAGAGAAGGGACGGCTGGCTGTGCCGCGGGATTGCCCTGGCGGGAAGGAGACAGGGGCTCCAGACTGCTCTGAACGCCACCTCCAACTCCACTTCCAATTGAACTGAACCACAGCTCCGGGCTCATTGGGGGAGAGACTAGTCTGTTTGATAGCAGGCGAAAATCGAGGGCACCTTTCTCTCAGAGGTGCTTACAAAAAAAAAAAAAGTACCAAATGACCCTGAGGAATACTGAGACTCAGAAGCCGTATAGGGCGTGGCTGACGGAAGCCAAGGCTGTAGGCTCCACCCTAAAACTCCGCCCCAAGGAAATAGATCACAAACGAAAGAAAAGGAAGATAAAAAGCGACTGGATATAGAGTTCAAATCTACGCTTATAAGGTTTTTCAAGAATTTCCTAGAAAAGGTATCGACCTATGAGGATATGAAAAGGGATCAACTAGAATTAATAAGGAATCAACAAGAAATAATAAGGGATCAACAAGAACTAACAAGGGTTCAACAAGAAATAAAGAATACATTGTCTGAAATAAAAAATATTATACAGAGTCCTAAAAACAGAATGGAAGATCGCAAGAATCAAGTCAAAGATTTGGAACATAAAGAGCCAGAAGACACTCCTCCGCAGAAGCAAGAAGGCAAGAGAATCCAGAAAATTGAAGATAATGTAAGAAACCTCTGGGACAACTTCAAGCGAACCAACATCAGAATTATGGGGGTCCCAGAAGATAAGAGAGAGCAAGATATCGAAAACATACTGAAAGAAATAGTGACAGAAAACTTCCCCCACCTGGGGAAAGAATTAGACTTACAAGTCCAGGAAGCACACAGAACTCCAAACAAAAGGAATCCAAAGAGGACCACACCAAGACAAATCATAATTAAAATTCCAAGAGCAAAAGACAAAGAGAGAATATTAAAAGCAGCAAGACCACCTATACGATTGTCAGCTGATTTCTCAACAGAAACCATGCAGGCCAGATGGAAATGGCAAGAAATATTCAAGGTGATGAATAGTAAGAACCTACAGCCAAAGATAATCTATCCAGCAAAGCTATCACTCAGAATCGAAGGCCAGATAAAGAGCTTCACTAATAAAAATTAAAAAAAAGCTAAAGGAGTTCATCACCACCAAACCAGAATCATATGAATTGCTAAAGGGGGTTCTTTCAGAAGAGAAAGTAAATAAAGATAAAAATTATGAACAACAAATACGTAACTATCAACAAGTGAATCTAAAAACCAAGGAAATTAAAAAAAAAAAATCTGATGAATAGTAACTGTTGAATATAATAGAATCAGAGGTATGGAAGGGGAGTGAACTGACAATTCTTGGGGAAAGGGGGAAAGGGGGTGTAGGAAGAGACTGAACATAAACTGTACACCTATGGATGAGGACAATGGGGGGTGGGGAAAGGGCAGAGGGTGGGGTGGGAACCTGGTGGAGGAGAGAAACGGAGGAGGGGGGAAAAAGAGGAACATTTGTAATAATATGAACAATAAAGATTCACTAAAAAAAAAAAAAAAAAGAAAGAAAAAAAAGAATAAACACCTCCACATTACAGATAAAGAAATTACGTTCTAAGGGAGTTTAAAGTGACTGGACATTAAGCGAAAGTGTTAATATCATCACTGGCGAACAAGAACTAAAGGGCTGAATTAAAGTATTAGGCGTGGGATGTACTGGAGCTCTGTTGGAAACAGACCACTAGTCAGGATCAGGATTGTGGGCTTTAATTGCCCCAAGTAGCTCTTTCTGTTTCTGATTTCAGAATCTGCTGTTCTTTGTTTACACCCCTGGATGGTAGGAACTCCGATGACTGCCTAGGACGCCAGCTCCGTAACTAAGTAACCGCCTCACTCTACCGGGCATGCGCACAAAACCTGACGCTATTGGTAGGAGGCCCAGGGCAAGCGGCGCGCGGGGTCCCAGCATTCCTTCCGCGCCACCACCAAGATGGCGGCGCCCATGTTGCGGTGCATGTCTCCGAGCCGGTGGTTTTGCACCCCGGGCCCGTTGGGAGTGTTGCCCCGGGGGCTGCGGGAAGCCCACTCCGGCAATAAGGGGTTGCTGGCGGCGCAGAAAGCTCGGGGTTTGTTCAAGGAGTTCTTCCCCGACAAGGGGACGAAGGTAGAGCTCCCAGAGCTCTTTGACCGCAGCATCGCGGGCAACTTTCCCCAGACCATCTACTGCGGCTTCGACCCCACGGCGGACTCGCTCCACGTGGGGCACCTGCTGACGCTGCTGGGCCTCTTTCACTTCCAGCGAGCCGGCCACAACGTGATCGCCCTCGTGGGAGGCGCCACGGCGCGCCTGGGAGACCCCAGCGGCCGCACCAAGGAGCGCGAGGCGCTGGACGCGGAGCGCGTGGGCAGCAACGCGCGCGCCCTGCGCCTGGGGCTCGAGGCCCTGGCAGCGCACCACCAGCAGCTCTTCTCCGATGGGCGGGCCTGGGGCAGCTTCACGGTGCTGGACAACTCGGCCTGGTACCAGGAGCAGCACCTGGTGGACTTCCTGGCGGCGGTGGGCGGCCACTTCCGCATGGGCACGCTGCTGAGCCGGCTGAGCGTCCAGACCCGGCTCAAGAGCCCCGAGGGCATGAGCTTGGCCGAGTTCTTGTACCAGGTGCTCCAGGCCTACGATTTCTACTACTTGTTTCGGCGTTACGGATGCCGGGTCCAGCTGGGCGGATCTGATCAGATGGGCAATATCATGTCGGGATACGAGTTCATCAACAAGTAAGGGTCTTTCGACCCTGGAGAAATCCTGGGACCAGATAATTGACACGCGAAATAGCCGGTGCTGCCCCGTTAGGATTGTGAATTGACGCCCCGTCGTCCAAACCCTTGTTGGTTGTCCCTCCAGGAAGGGTCTGGAATGGTGGTAAATATTATCACTGGCCAGTGAAAACTAGAGGGCCGAGTTAAAGTGATTGGTATGGGATGTAGCCTAGAGCTCTGCAGGAAATAGACCACAAGTCAGGATTGTATGTTTTAATTCCCCTAAAGTAGCTCTTTCTGTTTCTGATTTGAGAAACTGCTTTTCTTTGTTTATACCTGAGCAGGTATAGCTTTATCTGCTTTAGCTCTGCACCTTTCGTGAAGCTAGGGATGAGCCACAGGACTGGCCCATGTGCTACTCATTTTTTTTTTTTTTAATCCCTTTAACTCCTTTAGTGTCTCTACCTGACTCCCTCTTAAGCAGCACCTCCCCTTGGCTTGCCCAGAGTCACTGGTTCAATTGCTATTCAGAATGCCAGAGTAGAGTCATTTCTGTAAGAGGTCACAAAAGTTTTCTTAGACAAGAGACGGCACAGAAATTTGAAGGGTGATTAGCAGAATCTACCATCACCTGTGCCTGGAACATAATGAAGTTTTTCTTCATGCATAGGTTGACTGGAGAAGACGTATTTGGAATCACTCTTCCTCTCATTACAAGTACAGCTGGAGCAAAACTGGGAAAGTCTGCTGGCAATGCTGTTTGGCTAAGCAGGGATAAGACATCTCCATTTGAACTGTATCAATTCTTTGTCAGGCAGCCAGATGATTCGGTAGAAAGGTGAGTTCTTAATAGTGTACTGAGAAAAATTAAGCTCATAAGTTCATGATATAATTTTAGCATCCAATCTCTATGTTTGGTTATTGTTGTTTTTAAGTTCAACTATATTAAAGTCATAAACAATTGCAACACAGAACATTATAACTTTAACTGTCCTGAAGTTAAATACTTTGGGTTGGTTAAAGCAGAAAACCACTGTGGTTGATAGAAAACTTAGATCCAAAGTCCTGATTTGCATCTGGCAAGTACAGTAAAACCTTGATATAAAGACTAATTCTGATGAAGGGGTGTCCATTAAAGCTGCAAGTCCAGTATATCATAAAGTAGGTTTTCCCAATGTGTATGTCAAAAATTGACAAATTAGTTTACTTGTTTTTATTTATATAGACACGTTTGTGTGATTACAATTAAATAAGTATGAAAAGTTTAATTTCACAGAAGAGTTTTCCATATGTATTGTAATTTTAAATTTATACTGAATAGGTCTAGTCAGTGTGTGCATTCACCAGTTACTAAGAGTGAGCAGATGCCCTCAGCTGGAGTGTGGCTAAGCGCACACAGGAACAGCAGCTAGCACTGGTTAAAACAGCTGCAGAGCCCTGACCTGTTTGGCTCAGTGCCCACCTGTTTGGATAGAGTGTCCACCTGTGGACTGAAAGGTCTCAGGTTCAATTCTGGTCAAGGGCATGAACCTTGGTTGTGGGCACATCCCCAATGGGTGGTGTGCAGGTGGCAGCTGATTGGTGTTCTAACTCTCTATCCCTCTCCCTTCCTCTCTGTAAAAAAATCAATACAAAATATATTTAAAAAAAAAAAAACTGCTTCAGAAAGTCACGCCATTCGACAACAGAACCAAAAACCAAGCTTGATTTCGTGTGATCATTCCCTGAACATTGTTTATAAGCAATGACTCTTAGATTTAAATATACAGACTATAGCTGTAGATATGTGATATTTATTTATGTAAGCAAAATTACTAGTGTTTACTAGTGTTTTTTTCCAACATGTGACCTATTCGCTAGAGTTTATTAAAAACAACTGAATTAATAACAAAAAAAACACACCTGTTAATATAATTATAAACAAATCTTGGTTAAAAGCATTTTAAAATTTTTACAAAGTATTAATTTTCACATATGACACATGGACCAGATTTTGTCTAATAAATCCAAAGTCTGTTAAGTCAAGGTCTGCAAAATTGAGGGTTTATTGTATTTAAACTCTGACTTGCCATCCCCAATCTTCTGTTTCCCTATGTGCCAGATTAATGGTGTGTCTGTTCATAAAGTCCATTAATCTAAAACATTTTTTGAAAGTGGGTAATTGTTGTCTTGTGTAAATGAAATGTCTTGCCCTAGGAATAGGTGAGGGCAAGCAATCTAATTGGGTGGTATTCTAGCAGGGGAACAGTGGTTCTGAATGCACATTTCGGCTTGCCACACAGGGAGATTTGATGCAATAGTGCAGTAGGCAGAGGACATTCTCAGAGTTTGCAGGCATCTTGTTATAGGGTAGGGTCAGCTGGCAAACACCAGGCAAATTCAGAAAAGTAATATTCCAATGAGTCCTCTGATGGAATCAGGACAGTACTTTTAGTCCGTTGTTCCTGAAAAGTCTTAGTTTTCATTTAAGCATTTTGCCAAGTTTGAGGTGGACTAGGGAGTGGGGCCATTTGGCAAGTGATGAGGCCTCTGACGTGGTGATATGTCCCCGGAGCGTCCTCTCTAGTGTGGGGGCATAATCATCTCCAGTGGCGAACTCTTGAGCTGGTGATGTCACCTGAGGCATTGTCCTCTTCAGTGGTAAGTCCATCTCACTAGGGGTGCGGACCTCTGGAGTGGTTGCCACTAGTGGGTTGGTGACCCTCCCATGTGGCTGTCCAGTTGGGGTTCTGATCATGGGTCAGGGGTCATTTATTGATGAGAGGCTTATATTGAACTACTCATCCTCAATTAAGTCAGCAACAAGAAGCAGATGATGGAAAAGCATAGCAGAAAGGGGAAGGTGAGCCAGAGGAAAGATAAATGGATGTTGTCATGGAGGTAAAAGCTGGACTCCCAGGGGTGACCAAAAGTGGGATTTGGAGGAGTGTATGATGGTTGGTATATGGGGTATGTAGTTCCCCAGGGTGTGAGAAGCAAGATGAGGGCCTGGGCAAGAGTTCAGTCCATTTTGGGAACCACTTGCCTGAAAGTAATTTAAGGAGTGTCTCTTTGAAAAGGCTGTTGTGATGCTCAATGAGTGAGAGTCCCCAAGGGGAGTCTGGTGTGAGTATTTAATGATTGTGGAGGCATATCTGGAAGCCCCAACAGAAGGGGATGGCAGTGGGCGATGAAATGAATCAGCTAGTGGGAGCATGGTAAATCTCCCCAAGGAAGTATGTCCTCATGTAGATAGTTCCCATTGTTTGGTTTGGGAGCAGAAAATGCAATTGTCTGTCACAACTTTGGCTGCCACAAAAGAGAAAGGAAGTCCCCTTATTTGAGCCCAAGTTGTTAGGCCATGAATTTCTCAGGGACCTGAGATTATAGGGTGCATTTCTCAAGCTGGATGGGAAGGGTTGCTATCCTGAGAAGTCTGTACCATGCAGAGTGTGGAGGCTCAGTGAGGGAGTCGACGATATTGTTGAAAATGTCTTCTGGCTTAGAGCGGTTAGTATGAGCAGAAGCAAGAGGAACAATGATAGGAATTGGGGACTCCTGCCATAGCTAGGCAGCCCAAATGGGCTTGTCTTTATATGAAAAAGGTATCCCTTAGTCATTGGTAGGACCAAACTGTAAGGTGGTAATAGCCAGGAGTCTGAAAATGTGGATCTGCAAAAGATCCCTTCCCGTGGCTCCCTTGAGGGATGGGTGAGCACCTACAAGTCCTGCCAGTTGGGCTGAGCCAGAGAGAGATGCTGGAGGCTGGGTGGATGCCACAGCCCTGCAGGAAGCTACATTGTGTAAGCCAGCAGTCGCTAACCTTTCGGACCTCGGGGACCACTGGTTGGTGACTGCTGGTGTAAGCTGCCACTGACGAAGAACACTGACGCCCTGCCCATCTGAGGCATTTGGTCCCAAGGGGTCCCCAAGCAGCCAGAGGAGGAGGAAACAAGCATTGACACTAACTCTGCAAGGCTCTTGGGCAAGGAGCTGAGCATGCAGGAGGCCACATTGTCTTGTAATTTGGAAAGGCCTTGACGTCAGATTTAGCCCTTCTTAAGGTACCATTTCCGTTTTACCAAGGAGGCATTGGCGGCTCACCAATGCCTCCTTGGTAAAGCCAAGCTACTATTATGAAGCATCTCTAACCCAGGGTATTACAGGAATCTGGGTATGGAGTAATATTGGACAGTCAGGGCCTTGGTTTCTAAAATTTGATCCCATGTGATTGTGCCAACAGTGAGAGATGAAGGGTATGTTGCCTTCACAGCATGAAAAAGCTTAGTATGTGTTGAACTTGAGAGTAGTGGGTAGTTTATAGTGAGCAACTAGAGGCCCAGTGCACAAAATTCATGCATGGGTAGGGTCCCTAGGCCTGGCTAGTGATCAGGGCAGATCTGTGGGGCAACCGGCAGGGCGATCAGAGGGACCCGTGCTGTCACCCACCTTGGCTGGCCTGGCGTCACCCACTCGCCGGCCTTGCCCCCTGTCACTGCCTGCTTGCTGGCCAACGCTGCCGCCGGTCACCTCCATTTGCAGAGTGATCAGGGGGCCCCCTCTGGCACCTTCCTTGGCCTGGGGCCTGCAGACACCTCCTGTGTTGGGTGTCTGCACCCTGGTGGTCAGTGCGCATTATAGTGACCAGTCGTTCAACTGTTTGGTTGATTTGCATATTAGGCTTCTATTATATAGGATTGATGTTTGACTGTTGAGGGGTTTCGTGGCCCTTAGAAAATCACATGATGCCCAAAATCAGAAGTTGCTCAGCCTTGGATCTTGTAAGGAGCAGTTGCCCAGCCACATTGGTATAGGTTGGTGGTCGGCAAACGCATTAGTCAACAGAGCCAAATATCGATATTAACAGTACAACGATTGAAATTTCTTTTAAGAGCCAAATTTTTAAAACTTAAACCTCTTCTAACTCCACTTCTTCAAAATAGACTCGCCCAGGCCGTGGTATTTTGTGGAAGAGCCACACTCAAGAGGCCAAAGAGCCACATGTGGCTCACGAGCTGCAGTTTGCCAACCATGAGTGTAGGTGATGTGTGAGTGTGTGTAAATCTGTTCATACTGCTTCCTCAGAGTCTATGCTTCTCTCAATAAAATGCCAAAAACTGCAGTGTTCCAATGTAAGGTATTTAAATCTTGGCAGTAAAGGTTATGTACATTTGCTGGGTTGTTTACCTCATTGGGAGCTGTGTAAATGGATATTAAGCCTCTTCAAAATTATTTTAAAAACAAAAAACTGGACCTGGGATTCCTGTACAATGGGAAAAGAACATATTAGTTAGGTCATTGGCCTTGATCACACTACTTGGTGATCACTGAATTTATGGCAGCAGTGACATTTTGGGATAGATACTACAGGCAACAAACACATGGCAGATGCAATATGCAAAAGCACACACCAACAAGCAAGCTGCATTTCCAAGTGGGTAACACCAGTAAGTAAGCTAGTCTAAGCTAACGAGTAGTCAAGGTTAGTCAATTAACCCCACAGTTAATTGTAAGTTCAGTTACGTAATCCTGCCAACTATGCTGATAATTTTGTTGGTCTCGGCCCATTGGTAATGATATTATTGGCTAAAAATGCCTGTGAGTGCTCAGCTGTGCCCATACTGCTTGTGGTGAGCCCCCACAGACATTTCCACATAACAAGACCTGCCCTTGTTATGATTTCGGGATGCAACTCAACAGCAACCTTTGGGACCTTTGGCAAAATGAGATTTATTACAAGTCCATGAGGGTACATGGCACTCTTGAGTCCATACAGCGAGGTCACAGAGACAGGAGGCACTGCTTTTACTGGGGGTGAGATAGGGTGCCTACGGTTTCATGGGGGAGCTCAAGTGGTCA